GGCTGGAGAACTTGGAGAATGTGGCTGGAGAACCTAGCAAGAGAACATGGACACAGAAGTTGGCTGGAGATTGTGGCTAGAGATCCTGGCAAGGCTGCTGATCAACTGAATGCTGTCTCCGTGTCATTCCCTCTTCGCCGACTCCATCCACACCTTTGGGGACCCCTGGACGTGCTGGGGCTGGACCCCAGCACAGGACTATGTAGGTCCTCGTACTTATTCTTGGAGACTGGTGGAGGGGTCTTATTCATTCTCATACACACAGGCACACACACCCTGGTAAGTGTTAAAACAGTCTCAAAATCTGGCATTCGAGGTCTCAGTTAATGTCAACATCTAAAGTAAAGAAGAATGATGAGCTCATTGCAGTATTGTTGCCACCGATGAGGTCATTATTTTTCCAGAAACAAAACTCAGAAAAAAATCCTTCCAAAAGGATTTTCAAATATAGAATTGAGATGGTAGAGAATGCCCATGACTTAGTGTGTACACTCTCACTTCTCTTGTAATCTCTCACTCTCTCTTACCTTTAAGATTACTAATAAGGCCATGGTAAGCCCTCCACTTATTCATACCTTATGTCAAAGTGTTGGGTCCAGCAGAAGACCCCATTAGACATTAGCTAATGGTGTTGTTGTTGTTACGTATTAGGAATGGTTTCTGTGCCTCAAAATTTAACTATGTACCTGTTCCAAGGAAAAATCTGAACAGTTGTAATTCTGGTAGTTATAGAGGAGACCAGTTGTCTCATCCGAAAACTCAGTTCAGGGATTAGTGAACAGAACTCAAGGCGGGAGTCCCAGCATCTTTCTTTGCCTCAGTCTGTCCTCCACAGAACGGCATCATTATCTTGATAGATGTGGGTTCCTCCAGCACCTCTTCCATCTATAAGGAAGTTCCCAAGGCCATTCAAAAGCCCAATGTAAACGACTTCTCTCAGCTATGTTTTTCTACTCTCTCTGTGAAAAGCAGAGGAGAGAGGGGCAGGATACTGCAATAACACCTGATATTGGAAGTAAATAAGCTTTCACTAACAAGTGAAACACAAAAGCACATTCTGACAGAGTTCTTTCTTTTTATGAAATGGGCTGCCATGCGGGATTATGAATTGTCAGAGAACAGAAGGGAGCGAAAAGTTGAACTTCAGTTTCTTTCAACTTGGAGTTGCTCCTATTGACTGAGGAAAGGTCAATATGTATTTCTGGATGTACATTTAAGGCAGGGTCTTGAGTCATAGAGAGTTTCAAGGCTGTGGTGCCTGGCTGCCCAGCGTTGCCCCTGATCCCAGCAGAGGCCCCGAAGTCTAGCCCAATATCACACCATCAACAGCCCCCAACAGCCGTGGAGCATGGAGTGTTGGTGCTAGAGAAAAGCCTAAAGATCCCTGAATGAGCAGCCCACTCCTTTCATTTCACAGACAAGAAAAATAACTAGTATTTAAATTTTTGCTAAATTAGATAACTATTGTGTTATAAAAAATTCTAGAGTGAATAAGCAATAGCTGGTAATGAGGGTGTACGAAATCTTCCAGGGAGAAAAAACTTAAAGCTGAGAAAATCCTATCAGGGTAGCTTAACTTTTCTTCAAAACAAAGACATGGAGGAGTGCAATTATTCGGTTTTAGCAAAATAACATCTCACCTGACCTTCAGAGCACTGGAGCTGGGAGGAGTTTGGTTGAGAAGCACAACGTTGAAAGAATAGTAGGCTCATTCTAAAATCAGACTCATCAGGATCTCCTGCCTTTGCAAACAAGTAGAGGATAGACCTTTCTATGAGCTTCAAGTCCATTATCTCTCAGGTCAACCTGCTTCTGGCCTTGCTGCTCACATCACTGTGGGACCAAGTTGCCAGGCTAGCCCACAAAAGTCTTTTAGGCTCATTAGCAAAGCTACTGAGCGTTTTACCACCCCACACAGTGCCTCGAACACAGTAGGTGCTCCATAAAATTATGTTGAATGACATAGTTCCTCCTTATCATTTCCTCCTTAAATGTTGAGATGAGGTGGGATAAACATCTCAGTCTCAGAGAATGAAGAGTAACCCCCGGCCTCCCCTTTATCCTCCAGTCAGTGACTCTATGTGTTTCTGTAAAATGCTCATCTACTTTGCGCACTTATTCATCATTCATATATCCATTCAGTAACTATTGGGGTGTACTGTGTTGTTGTTTTTTAATTTTTTATTGTTGAAAGTTTTACATATGTCTCCTTTTCCCCCCATTGACTTCTCCCCACCCACTCCCACCCCCCAGCACATGCCCCCAACCCCATATTGTCTTTGAGCATAGCACTGTTTTAATTAAATAATTAAAACAAGGTACCTCCTGGGGCATCTCCTGGGGAAGCCACAGCTCCTGTGAAGGCCTCACTGCCCTCGCCTCCTCGGGACTCAGCAGC